GTGATATATATATATGTGTGTATATATATATATATATATATATATATATATATATATATATATATATACGTTTTGTATATATTAACGTATATTATTATTGAAGTAAGATCTTTATGCTAAGAAAGGAAGAAAGAAGGAAGAGAAAAATTTAAGAAAGATAATTAAAAAGAAACGAATGAAACAAATTTAGAAAATATATTGGCTTTGGCAGAAAACAAAATTAAGAAGATGAAAAAAAAGAAGAAAAACTAATAGATAAAGAGAGAAAAAAGGCATGATTTTTGTACAAAGAATTATTGACTTTATATTAAAATTGCTTATGTTTAGAGTTTAATAATTAATATTCCTATTTTAATGGAATTGTGTGCTACAAATATAAATATTTTCCTGCCACAAGTGTAATATTGGATTTCATGCTAAGAATTTGGTATATTTCTTTTAAACTGTGACAGTTATATAAAGTTCCCTATAAAATTGTAGGCAAACAAGTCCAAAAGTAAAGAATTCTCCATGTAGAACCTCTGCATATGAATGCTAAAGTTGGTGTAACGACCCAACTTGTCGTTTTGAGTAATTACTCTCCTTTATACTTTTTGAAGTCTTGAATAGCTTCATATGATATATTATGACGTGTGTGAATCGCCGGTTTTGATTTCCAGGTGTTTCGATATTAGTTCGGAAGAATGAATTTCATTTTGGAAGATTAAATGAAAAGGGTTGACCGGTGTTTGACTGTTGTGCAAACGACTCCGGAATAGAGTTTTGATGGTTCCAATAGCTCCGTATGGTGAATTTGGACTTAGAAGTGTATCCGGATAATTATTTGAAAGTCCGTAATTAAATTTATCTTGAAATGGCGAAAATAGGAAATTAAAAATTTGAAAGTTTGACCGGGGAGTTAACTTTCTTATATCGAGGTCGGAATCATATTCTGAAAATTGGAATAGCTTTGTTATGTCATTTATGACTTGTATGCAAAATTTGAGTTCATTCCGGATTGATTTGATATGTTTCGGCGCGAGGTTTGAAAGTTGAAAGATTTAAAGTTTATTAAGCTTGAATTGGAGTATAATTCGTGGTTTTAGTGTTATTTGATATGATTTTAGGCATCGACTAAGTTTGTATGATGTTTTAGGACTTGTTGATATATTTGGTTGAGGTCCCGAGGGCCTCGTATGGATTTCTGGTGGTTAACGGAATTTAAGTTGGATATTCATAGAATGTTCGATGTCGATTCTTCAAGAATACGTGGTACCACATTAATAAAATGAGCTCAAAATTCAGTTTTATTAAAGCATTAGGTCCGTATTGAAATTACAGAGCCATAGCAAAAAGAATCGTCGAATTCGGACATCGTATGAGAGAGTTATGCCCATTTTCGTGTCAAGAATGATTTCCTGTCGCCGTCAGCGCCCAGGGTAGCGTGGGGCGCTATCCCTGGCGTTGGGACTGCTGGAGGTACTGAAAAGGGCGCCACAGGCAGCGCCCCATGCCACTTGTGGTGCCACAGATGTAAAAACCCCATAAAATGGGGAGTTTTGCCATTTTTACTCATTTTTAAGTCTGGGGAGCTCGGTAAAGGCGATTTTTGGGCGATTTTCACGGGAAAACATTGGGGTAAGTATTCCTTATCCTATATTGATTATATTTCATGATTTCATATTCATTTATATCATGAATCCGTGAATTTATGGAAGAAAAATTAGATTTTTATAAAACCTTCCAAAAATATAAAATGAAGATTTGAAGGTCAATCCGATGTCGGGATTTGATAATTTTTATATGGTTAGACTCGTATCGGAACGGGTGTTCAGATTTTGTGAGTTTCGTCAGATTTCGATACGTGGGCCCCACTGTCAATGTTTCGAGCGGAGTTAGAAATTTTTGTAAATTATTAAATTGTAAGCATTAGAGTAAGTTGTGATTAATTTACACGTTGTTTGAATAGATACGAGTCGTTTGGCTTGAATTGAGGAAATAGGAAGGCGTATGGAAGTTGATACACGCAGAATGGAATTTTCAGAGTATTGTACAGCTTGATCGGTATTGGATTTTGCTTGTTCGAGGTAAGTAACTCTTCTAATCTTGGAGTTGAGGGTATAAACCCTGAATTATACGTGTTATGTGTTTGGTGTTGAGGTGACGCACATGCTAGGTGACGGGCGTGCACCGTGTGAACTTTGATTCCGTTATTCTGGTGGTACTGTGTAGTTACCTGCAGTGTTTTAAAAGGCATTTTCGGGGCGAGCCCTAGGGCGAGGTGCACCAAAAATGCCCTAGGGCGATGGTGTGGGGCGAGAGTCTCAAGAGGCGTACGCCAAGTAATTCGGGGCGTACCCCCGGGCGTTTGAGGCGAGTGTTTTTAGTGAGGCGTAAGCCCCAGAGATTTTTTTTCAAATTAAAACAAAATTTGTTGAATAAGTCCTTCATATAATACCCAAATTATCAAAATTCAGCTTGGTAATTGCTCAAAAGTTTTAAAAAGGATATGAAATGTATTAAATTTAAAAGTCAAGACCTTTTTTATTGATTGGAGCCCCAATTCATGGTCTTTCCTGATTCTTTATCTTGTCTGCTAGTCTGCTAATATCTTCCAAAAGCAACGAATATTCAATTTTTTTTACAAATACAAATAGAACTCCATTCTCCTTCGCAGCAACAAGTTCAAAGTTCAAATTGAAGGTTAGTCATCATTTCTGTTCCTCCATGTAGAAAACTTTATTCGTTTCGACTCAAGTTACTTGAGCTTCTAAGTAGCGTATAATAGATTATTTTGATTAGTTTTTTGTGGGGATGAAGTGCGTGCGCGCGAGCGCACACACACACACACATATATATATATGTCACATATTTATAGTTTTCTTTATTTTTTATGCAATTTTACTTATTTATAAATATTTACTGTAATTATATTATTTTATAAAATATTAAAAATTAAATACCTATGGGGCTTACGCACCATACCTCGGGGCTTCCGCCTTGCTGAGGCATATGTAAAACGCCTCGCCTTACGCCCACACCTTTTAAAACACTGGTTACCTGAACTTATCTGAAATCATGGAAATCTCTACGTACTAGAGCTATTGAGCTGAGAATCATGTTAAAATCATGTTGAGGCTATATGCCAGTATTATTGAGACCCACAGAGGTCATATTATTGTTGAATTTATTTAAATTGAAATTTTAAAACTCAGTCATGTTCATTCATTTCATATCATCTCTCAGTCTCTGTTCCTATTTATTGATTCATCATATTATCATTTTAGGCTGATTTTCATGACATTGTGAGCCTGAGAGACTGGAGAGATTGATGACTGAGTGAGTCCGAGGGCCTGATTGTGAGAATAATTATGGGATCAGACTGCACACCGCAGCAGGCCAGATTGGCTTATTATAGCACGTGAGTTATCCGTGCGAATACAAATATTGATACTATAGCACGTGAGTTGTCCGTGCAGATTATAGCGCTTGGGCTGAAGGAACTCCTCCGGAGTCTGTACACACCCCTAGTGAGCGCAGGTACCTACTGAGCGCGAGTGCCGAGTGATTTGGGAGGATTGAGTGACTTTGAGGCATGCGTGACTGTGAGGACTGAGTGATTGGGAGGACTGAATGAAATGATTTTATCATTGAGTTGCATCGCATTGACATGCATATTTTACATACAGGCATAGTGATGCATTTTTCACTAGTTATCTGGAAAGGAAATAAAATATTTTATCAATGTTGAAAGGAATTTTGGAAAAAATTACTTTTTTCAAACTTACTTATATTTTTGATAAACGATTTGGGTTTTCATTGATATACTTGAAAGGCAGAACTATTTTCAGAAATTATATTTTTGCTGATCATTTGATTGTTGAGTTACTTCTGGTTATTACTTGTTTAAGTTATTATGAACTATTGTTGGTTATTGAAGTTGGGACCCTACCTTGGTACAAGCTCGTTACTACTTTCAACTTAAGGTTAGGTTTGTTACTTATTGAAT